ATTTTTGCATCTATGTTCATTAGGGAGATTGGCCTGTAGTTTTCTTTTTTGGTTAGGTCTTTCTTTGGTTTTGGTATCAGAATAATACCTGCCTCCGGGAAGGAGATAGGGAGAACTGCTTTCCTTTCAATTTCATTAAAGAATCTGCAGCATATTGGCATTAAATCTTCTTTAAATTTCTTGTAGAATTCAGCCATGAGTCATCAGGACCTAAGGTTTTCTTTATTATTAAAATTTTAATCATGTTTTCAATTTCATTAACTGATATTGGGTTATTCAAAACTTTTATATCTTCTTGATTCAGCTTTGGTAATTCATACATTTCTAGGAATCTCTTCATTTCTTCGGTATTTTCCATTCTATGTGAGTAAAGATTTTCAAAGTAGGTATTGATGATCTTCTGAATTTCCACATAATCTATAGTAATTTCACCCTTTTCATTTCTCACTGCATGAATCTGAGTTTTTTATTTCCTTTTCTTTTTAAGGTTGGCTAGGGGTTTATCAATTTTATTCAATCTTTCAAAGAACCAACTTTTCAATTCTTTAATTCTCTGTATGATTTTTTAGTCTCAATTGCATTAATTTTTGCTCTGACCTTTATAGTTTCCTCCCTCCTTATTAGCTTTGAGCTTGACTTAGTCTTCTTTATCTAGACACTTGCAATATTGCATTAGGTTATTTGTGCTGGTTCAATTTCCCTATTGTGATAAATCACTGCTATAAATTTTCCTTTAAGGAATGTTTTCATTGTGTCCCACAGGTTCCAGGATATTGTATTTGCATTTTCATTTCATTGTAGGTATTGTAAAATTTCTTCTTTAATTTCATCGGTGACCCATTGGTTGTTCAAGAGGATGTTATTTAATTTACATTTGTTTAAGGAGCTCTTGCTATTTGACATTAATTTCCAACTTTAGTGTACAATGGTTAGACAATACACATAGGATAATTTCTATTCCTTTGTACTTACTGAAACACGCTCTATGAGCTAGCGTATGGTCTATTGTTAGGTGAAACACTCTGTAAACATCTACTAAGCCCATTTATTCATGTGTTTTATTTATTTATTTATTTATTTTTTGTCTTTTTCATTTTTATCGGTACCGGGGATCAAACTCACAATCCTGTATTTGATACATATATATTTATGATTGTTGTGTCTTTCTCTTGAATTTCTCCTCAAACTATGTAGTGACCTTCTTTTCGTCTTTTTGTCATTCTTGGTTTGAAGTTCACATTGTCTGCAAACGGAACAGCTATCTCTGCTTTTTTTCTGGGCTCTTCTTCCATGTTCTTCTTCTTGTTGTCTTATCTTTTGACTTTCAGTCTATGAGTTTCTTTTTCAGTTAAATGTGTTTCATGTGTACAGCATACTGTTAGGTTTTGTTTCTTCCTTTATTTACTTATTTATTTATTTTTTATCAGTGCCAGGGATGGAACTCATGACCGCCTGCTTGCAAGGCAGGTGCTTATGCCACTGAGCTAAATCCCCAGCCCAAGTTTTGTTTCTTAATCCATTTGTCAAACTGTTTCTTTATAACTGATATGTATTGGCTTATCTTTGTCATGTTATTTTCCTGCTGTATCCCTGTTTTTCCCCTTTGTTTGCTTGCTCTGCCGAGTGGCCTCTTTCTGTTGTTGTTCCTCAGATTGTGATCATTTTGATTTCTGACAGATTCAGTTCCCAGGCTTGAGCAATTTTCTGCATTACTTCTGTAAATAGATTTTTTTGTCATTTGTGTTGACTACTGCCTTTTCACTGACATCTATCAGTCTCACCTTTGCATCACCTTCGAGCTGCTGAATTATTTAATGGTCCCTTATTATTTTTAAGAGATGTTTCCTTTCATGATCACTAGCTGCAATCCTGTCTTCAAGGTCTGAAAGTCTTCAGTTTCATTTATGCACTTTTGTCAGCTTTCAATGGAATTTTTAATTTCCTGGTATCTCTTTGCATTTGTTTCATGTATTCTATTTTGTTTCTGTATTTTTCATTCAATGTTTCCATCATTTTTCTATGTTCCTTTTTTTTAGTTATGTCTTCTCTAGCTATGTGGAGCAACTCCTTCACTATCACTATCATTTGTTTTTTATCTGAGAGATTATTTCTGATTTGATTTCCTCTATACTCTCATGAATTTCTTTACCTCACTTGCTATCTTCTCAGAAATTTCAGGTGTGTATTTTCCAATTTCTTCTATTTCAGTGTCTCCTGTACTTGTGGATGGACTACAGGTCTGAAACAGCATTTTGCTTTTCTGTCTTGCCATTTTCACTTTGTGGCTTCAGTCTTTTCAATTTCATTTGTATTGCATGTCCATTGTGTGTGTCTTAGTCAGGGTCCTATTGTGTGGCTGGCATTCACCCAGTCACAAGATCCCACAGAGCAGGGGAGGGGCTGGTCAACTTGAATTTCCCTTGCAGGGCTAATGGAGTAAGTCCTTGATTCTTCCCGGACTGACTAGCCTAGGAGTGTTGATGCGAGGCAACCCTTGATTTGTATTATTACTGCAGCTTCAGACTTTTATAGGCTGCCAGACCCATGAGTCCATGATGTGCACTCGAGTTAGGATCCCACTGCGTCACGGAGGGTCTCACATGCCTGCTGAGGTTCCTCTGGATGGAATGTGGGGTCACCAACACCCTCACTGGCCCGCCCAAGGGTCCTCCAAGTTAAGAGAGGGGTCACCTGTGCACTCATCATGCCACTTTATCCAAAATACTTCAGATTAACGCCATTACAAAAAATATAATGTTAACTCCTGCTTCATAACAAAATAAAGAAATTTTTTCTGCCTCAAGACAGGAAAGACATTACTTAAATATAGTTGGTTCAGCTCTTTGGTCTCCTTTAATCTAGAGCAATTCCTTAGTCTTCATTTTATATAATCTTGAGAATTTTAAAGGATAAACACCATTTATACTATTTTAAAAGATGTCCCTTAATTTTTATCCTACTCCAAAAGTGATACTGTTTCCAACTGTGAGATGCATATGATAGCTATTTGTCACTCCTGTTGACATTAACTTAGATTACTTGATTAAAGGTGGTATCTGCCCCATTGTATACTGTCATGCTACTGTTTTATCTTTTCAATAGTCAGGAGTCACCTTGAGACTACATAAATGTTTAAGTGTTCATCAAACTTTAATTCAGAAGTTAAGTGAGCAACTGAAGATTTTGCTGGGAATAATTATTACTACACTTCAACTGTCCAATAGTGATTTCCTTAATTCCATATTCTTTCTATACTTGTTAAATAGTATTTTTCAGCAAAGAAAAGTTAATTCTATTCCTCCACTTATGACTCATTTTAGTAATTTTATAAAATTTATATGTAGAGGGAGAGATAAATTATTATCTCTGCTGTTATTATTATCTCACTATAGGCTGTGACTCTGTTTTCTTTTTCTTTTTTTCTTTTTCTGGTACCAGGGATCAAACTCACAACCTCACACTGTCCAGTCAGGTGCTTACATCACTGAGCTAAATCCTCAGCCCAGTTATCTTTTCACTTAAATGTTTAGAACCAGAAGTGTTCTAGAGTTCAGTTTTTCAGATTTTTGGTATATTTGGGCAGAATTTAATGTTTCAACATCCCAAGTCCAAAAATCCAAAATGCCTCAAGAATCTAAAATTTTTTGAGTACTGTGTCAGCCTCAAAATGTTTTTTGGATTTTGGAGTAGTTTAGATTTTCAGATTTCTGGATTAAGAAGGTTCTACCTGTCTGTATTGACTTCTAAACTGCTACTTGATTTTATGAGTTTTAATCTACTATTTATTTGCTGATCAAATGTTTCCAATTTATCTGATGATCAAGGTATAGGAATATCTTCAAACCATTTCCTGTGTTCTTCTGACGTCTCCCTCATTCTTTTACTACTCAAATTACTTATATATAATGCCCAAAACCTGCATATTTTTCATTAATTTTTATAACAGAAAGTATAAAAATGACAATTTTATCAAATTTACTTAATACAAAAATTAACTGGTAGAAATGACACCTGCCTCATTGAGGCTGTGGACAATCAGTACATAAACAAATGCAGTGCCCAAGTGACATTGGGGATAAACTGTTAAGTGGTTAATTGCCATAGTTCTTTTAATAGTACCAATGACTTGGAATAGCCTAAGGGAATAGTAAGAAGATGAAAAATCATGAGGCTTTAAACAGAAGTATCAAAGTAAAAGATATACTCTGGAATAAAGGGTACAGAACAATAGTAGAGTATAACAATAGTTTATTTAGAAAAAAAAAAACAGAGGCCAGGGGTTTAGCTCTGTCTGCCTGGCAAGTATGAGGTTGTTAAGTTTGATCCCGATACAAGAAAGAAAAACAAGAAGGAAAAAGACAAATATATCCATCTTTTTACATATAATTTTCTTGAAAAATTATTTTAAAAAATTATAAAACATAAAATAATACAAGGTTTCAGCATTAAGTCTGACTTTGACTATGAAACTGGGTTTACTTTACAATCTGTACTTAGAAAAAATTTTAATCATTTTTAAGATTATTACTTTAAATGTGTAATACTAAAATGTGCAATACAAAACTAATTTTTTGGTATTAGAGCAATTTGTTTATAAGCTCATTAAAATGTACACAATTTTATGTTTTCTCTAAAATAGATAAAAACTTGGTTTTGTTTAAGATTCTTTTCTAAGATTATTAAGTCTTTTGACACCTCACCTGTAACCAAAGAACTGTGACTAGCTAAACACAGCTAACCATAGGATTCTATAATGTTGCTGGTCTTGCTTCTCACTATATTATAAAAGTTGGTGCTTGAAAAGATTTCTTTCTTTCCTTTTGAACTATATCCTCATATTCCTGTTTTGTCTTTTGAAAGAGAAAATGGAGGAAAGAGTGATTAACAATAAGCTTGTAACATAGGTACCAATATGGGAAAGGTTTCTAAAAGTACAGTAACAAATGGCAAGATCTACACACACACAAACTGGCTGAGTGAAAGCATAATGTAATGCTTACCTAGTGAGTCGTTTAGGTGGAGGCCGCTCACCAAATTTCCTGGGAAGAAAAAGAAAAATATTTTTAAGAACTGTCTCATAACCTCCATATTTAGCTTTTCAGACCCCATAAAATTTTCTGTTTGATTTCAACCCGAGGAACAAAGAAAAAAGAAATTCTCTAACAGTCATCTCTAACCACAAATAACAAAATACACATTTTAAGAGTTAAAGAAAGACACCCTAAGTAGGCCTTGCACACCCACTGTAAGCAAGCAGCAGACTGATGAAATGAAAGTGACAGGCACCTCAGAAAACAACCAAAGACCACAGTCCCTCATAATCAGCAGCAGAGAAAAATGCTCAGGACCCAAGACGGGGTGGTGTAGAGCTCACAAGTCTTCATCCTGTGTCTGAAACTAGCCATTACACTTTCCATATATTACTCTATTTAAACCCTGTAAAATGGGCTGGGGATTTAGCTTAGTGGTATAACCGCCTGCTTTGCAAGAGCATGGTCTTGAGTTCGATCCCCGGTAACTCCTGCCAGAAAAAGAAAACCCTGTAAAATGATTCTATGAGATACACACTGACCTCATCTTAAAGATATAAAAAGTATCTTGTACAATGTCATAAAGTAAGTGGCAGGCCAAGTTAGGAATGAAATCCAGATTCACTCTATCATACAGTCTGTCTGTGACCCTATGGGCTAGCACAGAGGCATTTCACTAAGCTGACAAAGGCATAAGCAAACTCAAGAATGTATTATGGTTCACATTATACCAATGGACAGGCTCTAGAAAGAGTTTAAACTCATGATTTGGCATTCTCCTGCTCTGCAGCTCTGACGTTAGTTACCTGACTTGCTCCTGATCTGTAAAAAGACAAGGATTGATGAACAAATTAAGTATAGCAATTAATGGTTTAATTTATATAATGAAAATATACAGAATAGTACCTGGAACACAGTGAGTGCTCAATAAATGTTAGTAATTATCATTTTAAAGTTATAAATAATTAAGCCAAAAGAAGTAAAAGAATTAAGATGTTAATAGAAACAAGTATATAAAGAATATGTAGCTCCTTTTATGATGACCTGTTATTTCCGCTGTAGTAGGAAAATGTGGTTTTCTGCAAAATGATGAAGGCATGGCATTTGAAGAAAAATACCAATAAATGCCTTTTGTTTTGAAGCAAGACTTTGCTTTTAACAGTAAATGACTTGTTCTCAGCAATTTCTATACTATATTTGTGATATTCCAGAAGACTATTCACTTTAATAGTCTTTAGGCTCCCACTTAATTTTTTGTAATCAATTAAATACCATAAAATGATATTATGAATTAGTAATTTATAATGGCATCTAAACCTGAATATTTTAATTTTTTCATTAAATACTGCTGTATTACAAAGTAGCTTTAATTGAAGCAGCATAAATAAGCAAATTATCCAAGTTTTTAGAGGAAGAATTACTTCTGATTAGTCTTGATTTTAGCCAACAAATAATTTTTAAGTCAGGAAATAAAACACAATTTTTTAGTAATAACTGTAACAAAGTGGCTAGCGGCCATATGTTTAACTTACTTTACTGACCGGTCTATGTATTACGCTATGGAGTTAAAAGCAAAAATCTATTCTTGGGTCTTTTTCCACAGGAAAGATTATTTTGAAATCTCTGAACATGATTAAATGTACCACTATAACACATAATTACAACAGAGTAAGAACTGCCTTACTTGGATGGGTACAGAATATCATACATAAACCAAGAAGTTTATACCTATCGAATTATATTTCATACTGAGAAGTAAGTATGCCTGGAATCAACTAAAGGCACAAATGAAAAACATTTCAATAATGTTGTTACCCTTCCAATCACTATATTAACTTTTAACATTTGGACCATGAAGTACCTGTTGGAATCTAGCATGTTAGTTACATAACTAGTAAGAGATTCATTGCACTTAACACTGAAATATAAATTTTATTCCTAGATGTTTTGAAATTCTACCAAAGTAAATGTTGATGAATATATCTTTTAAAAAATGCTTATTAGATCAAGTCAGCAATTACATAGCATGTTTATGCATTACTTCTACTGGAGTCTACAGGAAACATAAGCACAAGAGCTAAATATAATTGCTTGCTGAATCTGGAGAGCATTTTGTACCAAACATGTGTCATTCTACCCAGGTACCATCCTGAGCACCTAGGAACTGTAGAAACATTAAGATTAAACTGCTTCTTCAGTAATGCAATAAAATTTGTGTGCAATCTTGATCCTCTCTTTAACACATATTCCATGACATTCCTACTTATCTCATTATCTACCAGTTACTGCATTAATTGGAATGGGGTTGAATTAAAAAAATATCTAGTAGACTCACAGTATACAACTGCTGGTTATAAGCCAACTAAATTCATTTAATAAATATTCATATAAAAGTGTCATGTTATACCAAGATATAACATGTACCTGTACTTAAAAAGACTCACCTCCACTGCCAACCTGATAGATGACTAACATGAAAAAATGAAGAACTATCGACCACAAAAAGGCAGCCTATCTTTAATCATGAGTGATTCAATAAAATTTATGATGTAATATGGCAATCTATCTTAAAAACACAATGTTTAGGGGCTGGGGATTTAGGTCAGCGGCATAAACACCTGCCTTGCAAGAGTATGTCCTGAGTTCAATCCTTGGTACTGATAGAAAAAGACACCAAAAAAAAAAACCCACACATACACACAGTGTTTATTAACATACTTTGAACTGACAAACCAGAAATAAGCTGAACCAACCAACCTTAGGCTAGTCTTAGGTAAAAGTTTTTCATAATAGACTATACAGTATGTTCCACAACATAAAAACCAAAAAGCAAAACTAAGTCCTTAAGTGCTCCGAGGGCCTTTTTAATTTCATGAAATAAAAATTTAAATCTTCGTTACAACAGAGAGTCATTACTATCCAATTTCTCATTTAATGATTATAGACTGTCAATATCTTATTTACATGAGCAGTTTTCTCCAATTCTTTGTAATAAACTAAACTACTATTCAATGTAATAAACTAAACAATTCTGGCAAACCCTTAAAGAGGAAAAACTATGATTTCTGACTTTTCAAAGTAGCAAACAAAAATTAGCTGGTATACTGTAGATTTACACCATCTTTCATCCTAGCTCTATGACAGACAGGCAAAGAGGTCAAATAAAACACCTTCTTACCATTATTACTCATTGTGTTCATGATACAATAGCTGAACAAAACGTACATTCTTCACTCTATATATACCTTATGGATAATTTTAAACTAATGAACAGATTTTACCTTAACTGAACTAACTTCTCAAATAGATTTTTATATTCAAAATAAGAATAACCACTATATTAATTACTCCAGCAGAATCTGATTTTATATACTAAAGTGTATAAAGATATTTTAAAAGTTGCAATTTATCATCAAACAAAGCACTTCCTACCTGTAAATAGTAATGAAGTTTCCATATATTCTCCAATCCATTAGAAATTTTTAAAAAGTAAAATATTTGCCTACTTGTTATATTTACAAACACATACTTCCTTCTCCTCAGAAATGGTACAATAGTGTTTCCTATACCATATAAGCTTCCTTATATATTTACCAATCTGTTAAGGAAGTATATGACCACAAATGCACTGGGGCCAAACATGATAAGAGTTATCAGAACTTCATCATCTTTACACCTTTTTTGGCTAAAAGACACTTTCCATGACAAAACCAAGTCAAAAATGAAAAAGGGAAGGGAGGAGGACCTTCTTTAAGTACACGATAATTTAGTAATTACACAACTACAAAACAAAGCAAAACCCTGATGTATTCTGCCTTAGTAACAGCACTAGAACATTGCTTCTGAACACAAAACCGTCACTGGGTTGTGAAATTTAAAATAACTCCTCATGTTTTTCTCTACTTCACAAGTTTTCAGCTTAAAAACAAGATTAAGATAAATGAATGAAAAAGTACCAATGAGATTTGGAGGAAATAGAAAAGAAAGCATTAACAACTTGAATTAGTGCTTTTTTTACTTTACAATTTTTTATTTTATGAAAAAAAAATTTTCATAACTAAATAATAATAGTAGTCATTACACTGTATTAATATCTTCAGTACAAGATATAAATAAGATTCTTACAAAAAAGAAACAAGTAACAGAAACTTGTCAATGAACTAAGATAAACTATTAGTATAAATGAAACAAATTAGCATAAATATTAAAGTATTTTTTAAAACAATATGTGATTTGGGGAAGTATTTGAACTTATTTTCTAGTTATCACTCTGTCATTTTGCTCTTTATCTGTATTTATTTATACTTACATACATTTTTTCTCTCATATGAGAGGAAACGATGTGACACTGGTGTCTATGAATATTTCACTTAACATTATGTTCTCATAATTTACCTATAAATGCCTTGTTTGTCTTTCCTTATGGCAATATACTACTCCACTATATATAAATACCACAGTGTCCTCATCCATGCATCCATCTGTTGATGGGCATACATGGCTGCTTTCAAGAGTTAGCTACTATTGGGGGCTGGGGATTTAGCTCAGTGGCATAAGCACCTGCCTTGCAAGCAGGCAGTGGTGAGTTCGATCCCTGGTACCGATAAAAAACGAAAAAGACCAAAAAAAAAAAAAAAAAGAGTTAGCTATTATAAACTGCACTGCTGTAAACATGAGTATGCATGTATTCCTGACGTATGAAGATTACATTTAATTCTTCTGGGAAGACACCTAAGATGGATTACCTCAATTTGTATTTTAAGTTTTTTATGGAATTTCCACATTGATTTCTACAGTGGTTGTACTACTTTATATTCCCACCAAAAATGTAGTGGGATTCCTTTCCCCACATACTTGTCAGTAATTGTTAGTATTAGATTTTTTGATGATAGCCATTCTTTCTGGGGTAAGATGGTATCTCAGGGTAATTTTAATGTGCATTTCTCTGATAATCAGCAATGATGAGCATTTTTTAATGTATTTATTGGCTATTTGTACTTCTGGAAGTA